CTGATCTGTGCTATGCATAGAGAAGAACTGGGAACACCACAGTCCTTACAGACATATACAATGTACAAGGGTGAAAATCCTCCTGTACTTAACATGCAGGTGCAGTGACCTCCCAAAAGTTCCCATGTCAGAGCAAACCATGTAGTCAGAGTTCTGCTAACATTTGCTTCACCAACCTGCATAGTGTTTAAGACTCAAAATAAGACCTGCAGTCAGGGGTTAACCTGATGACCACTCCTGCCCCATTTTTGCAATTCGGATTCCCCATAGCCTCCTTTTAGTTCCAATCTAGAGATGGAAACCAGACCAAGATGCAAAGAAATCCTCCTCTGCTCCTAGAAGGCCCCTCCCAACACCCCAGCACAGGAACCAGGCTCTCTGCTTTTACTCCGATATCCACTTCACTATAGAAGATTTATTTAGACTGTCTCTTGCTTCATAAAGGGCTCCAAAAGTCTGTAGTGATTTTGACACTTTGTTATAATGTTTCTATGACCCCCCCACCCCCTCCTCACATACCACACCACCACCCAGCCTCATTTTCATATGGATACAAAGCATCGGGATAAAATGATGGTTCATTATAGTGGTACAGAGCTCTTATCTTCATCCGGCAAGAGTCATTTCCTTCCAAAGATTGAAATGCAAATGTGAAAATTAATGATAACTGCATTATCTGATAGCAGAGATAATACCGATTCACTGTCAGAGTAACACACAGTCGTTCTATGATTTCCTCTGCTTCTTCACAATATTCTTCTTACTGTCAGACTATATCTATGGTTAACTATGTTTCATGGATTTTTGTTAATTTACATCAAATAGCATTTCCAAGATCTTATATCTACCACATTCCCCAATCAAAAAAGAAACGAAATCAGGACAGTAATCTCCAAGTCCTTCTTAGGACTGGTTTAAAAAGAAAAGAAAGAGAAAAAAAAAGAAAAAAAAAAAAAAAAAAAAAGAAAAAAAGGAGAAGAAAAAAAAAAAAAAGACTATCATTAATGTCTGTTTCCATCTTGCAGTGGCCTACCAACCATTTCAATCTATATCATCCACTTTTGCTTTGCAATCCAAACTGCTTAAGAGTATTACTAAATAATGCAGATTTAGCCCAACAATCAATAAATATTTACACTAATTCTTATGAAAGGTTACAGAAAATCTCTTCAGAAAAGCTTTTCAAATTACCTTTAATGGAAGATATAAAAACAAGAACCTGTCCCATAAAATGTTCAGAAGAATCTGATTCACATCCCACTTCAGAATTCATATGAAAAACGGTATCTTTTACGAAAAAATCACAGCAGTGTCATACACGGCATAACCTTATTTTAAAGTAGTACTTAATTTTATATTTGCTATTTACTTACACTTTCTGATGTATTTTAAGAAAAACACCACCCTGCAATGGTAATAAAAAGAAAGTATGATGTGATATATTTAACAATCATTCATACCTTTTTCTACAGTTCTTTGATACATGTATATGAGTCATGATGAGTACCCTGAGGTTTAACATGAGTTGTGACTTCATCCTGCTCTACTATTATTAGTAGCAAAAATTCTGCTGATTAACTGGAGGCACAATTTTACACATGGGAAACTTCCACTTTATGTATAGATGAATATAAACAGTACATAAATATAGCCATAAAATGACAAGGAAAGGTGGGTTTTTTGTTGGTTTTTTTTTTAGAAAAAAAGACTTTTTTTTTTAATTGCTCTGCTTTTTTGTTTGTTTGTTTTCCTTTTTGGTTACTTGGACAACTGCAGTTATCTCATTTTCTTGGAAAATTTCAGATAAATATCAGAAGAACTGCTGACACTGACTTTTAATTAAGATCATCCAACTCACATAATCAACTTGTTCTGCAAAAAAGAAACACTCCTTTGCAGCTGTAAAAATAATAGTTCACATAGGGAATACAAATGAAATAGTTGATGACATACTGCATGTATACTGCCAGAAGAGGTCTGGTATGGAACCATGAAACCCCTAGGATATTCCAATCATTGTTCCCCAAGTTGGGCAGTATTTTGTTTTACATATCCAGTAAATATCCACTAAAACAAGCTATGATCCTATTGTGTTATTGACAATCCATGGAAGACACATAGGAGAGCCAGCTGTTGTTCATTATCTCTTAAAACCTTGATCACTGGTGTCATTTGCACCTATAACCTAACAGTAATACAAAGGAAACATACACATCAATACATATGAAGGCATCTGATAACAAGTAGTGTTTTTGAAGCTGTTAAATGTCCTCTGCTTATAGTTTTAAAGAATTAAATCTTTTCATACAAATTTTTATTAAACTCAGTCTTCTTTGCAGACTTTCTTGGACTTTTGCGGCTGGCTATAACAGGAAAAGAACAGGTCCATTACTGTGTATCCATACGCAGTCTATTAACCTCAATTTCCATTATTTCAGAGGCATCTTCTCATTAATAAGAATTAAAAAAAAAAATGGGGACAAAACCAATGAAAATTATGGATAGTTTTAGAAAGCTCAGGTAACATAGTAACTACATAAAGTAAGCATTATCACTGTAGAATTTCCATGTTGGTCAATGGAGGTCAAAAGATGATGCAATTTGAGAGACTGCTTCAGCAGAAATTCTTTGAAGTTACCGCACATTTAACTATAGATTTTTTCTGCATAACAATACTCTAGTTACAAAGGATTGGGAATGCATGTGAACCATTTAATGCAAATTTTCATACAAAATAAAACTCTAATTAGTGTCCTGAAGCTTAGTTTTGACTCAACCAGAAGTTCTTCCTAATGAGTAACTCATAGAATTCTAGTCTGTAGAAAACATTGGCTCTGGAAATAACTATGTCAAGTAATAGAGAAAAAGCAACAACAAAATAGCTCTAGTTTTGGGTATTCACAGTTCAGATCACCAATTGACACCAAGTTGCATGACACAGAATACAGTTTTTCTTGGGTTCTGAGAGCTCCTTCTCAGTAAAGAGACCAAATGTAGAACCGATAACCACGATCATCTACTGATAAAGACAGCACCTCTACTATGAGGTGGTGAAGTACTGGAGGATTTAACAGTTCTTTTTCAGCACTGCTGGCAGAAGTCTCTAAAGAAGCAAAATATTTCATGCTTTGTTGTTTTGGTTTTTTTTTTTCTCAAAGATCTGAAGGAAGCTATCATTTTTCTTGTGCTGCATGGCTGAAAATAATTTCTGTTGATCGTTTCTTTTTCCATATCAATAAATAACCAAATTCATTTCAGAAAGCGTGCATGATGGAGAGCATGGCGTGTGGTGTGCATCCATTCCTCTCCAACCTTCATACATATTATTCCCTTTAAAGAATCCACATTTAAATAAAACAAAGCTTATTTCATGTCATTAGCCATCAGTTTGCTGAAGGCAAATCTTATCCTGTGTCAAAGCTAACAATAAATATACATTACCAGAAATACACACATCTTACTGTTTAACTGAGTACTTTTTCCAATGAAATCAAAAAAGTGTCTTTAAAAATGTGTCTGTAACATTGGTGTAAGACAGCTCGTATAAAAACCCGTAAATGCCAACACAAAAACATATTCAACTGTGTTGAAATAAACTAAAAAAAAAAAAGGAACAAAAATTTATTTAAGATAGAAGGTATTAGTAATGGAATTTTAAAAAATCATATGTTAATCACTGACAGCCTTTAAAGCTGGAAAAGGCTATTCTGCTACATCTAAAGATGTCTTCTGTGTTATTTCAAGTGTATGGTAGTGTATTTTATTAGAAAATCTTGTGTTCATATAACACCACAGTGCTTTATGTAGGTTCAACTTGTGTATTATCATTAAAAATATTTAAAATGACATCGTATTAATTATATACACTATGTCTTCCTTTTTGTTTGCATTATATTTTCCAGCTTCTGGTTTCAGAAAATTACCATTAGTGTTGTTCTTCTCTTCATGAAAAGCATATAGTAATTTGCAAAATCAAGCAAGGGTGAAAATATGACTGAAATATAGGATTTTTTTTCTAATGAAATATTATTATTGCATTATAAATTATTGATAAAACGCTTCTGGAACTCTTTTCTGACATGTTCATCCTTTTTAGGGAAAATGTCCATTAGAGATACAGCCATTCTGAGAGTATATATAGCTTCAAATGCACATTTTCCAACTGCACTTTTAAAACATATTAAATGTAATGGATTTTTAAGGCCCATTCTAGAGTCCTTACCATGAACACATTGCATTGAATTTAACAGTAGAATTGCCTAATTCAGAAATACAATTTAACCCTTTGTCTTAGATGCTTTTATTACATGACATCGACTTTACGTATTTATATAGAACAGATATTTGGAAAGTTTTCCTATGCTACCATCAAATTTAATAGTAATACTGTGCTTGCCCCCTCTTAAAGTACATAATAAAAAATGTTGCTGTGAATCAGTGTTTTAACATGGAGTTCTAGCAGTATTGACTGCAATCTCAGAGTTTCTCTTTCAAATGAAAACAATGACCAGGTGTGCTAAATGATTTATATCTAGCTAAAACTGGTAAACAAAGTCCTTGAAAATGTCAGTAGTTCCTATACCTTTGTTAAGCCCATACTGCCAAATATATACATAGAGCTTGGAGGAGGACACTGGCATTTCATCAAGCATCAGAAAATATAACAGAAAAACTTAACACAACCATGAAACTGGGAATTTAATGACAAACTTTTATCTGAGAATTCTGAGCAGCAACAACATTTTCATTTATAACAATAGCTATGTAAGATATTTCATGGTAAACGACTCACAAAATGGCTTAGACAAAACATTTTTTTACTCCAGATCTTTCTTTTAGTACTTATCTGTTAATATTCTGGACACCAAGCGCTCAAGAAAGAAACAGAATGTTATGAAACAGAATGTTATATACCACTACAAAGTAGAAAACAACTACTAAAATAACAGAAAGTGCTGTCTGAAAAATTACTGTTGCCTTTCAGCTGTTTTTTTTCCTACCTGGCCCATCCCAATCTTCTGTCTCCACTGCAAGCTGCCCTGGTTTCTCTGACTTTGCATCACCATCAGATTCTGGTGCCTCCTGGATGCCTTCCTCATTGCCTGAAAAAAAAAAAAAGTAACCCAAGAAATATATTATTGAAATATTTCAAGAACAACTTTCAATCAGGTTTACTGTAACAACCAAACCACTGCTTACAGGTGCAAGTGAAAATACAGACATATATATAAATAGAAAAGAAATGAATAAAGAATAATTGTATTAGACACTTCAACATCTGTGAGTTCCCAACGATCCAAACAAGTTCAACATGTTCATTCCTTCTAGTTCTGTGGAAAGGCAAATCTTGGTAATCAGTGTTTACTCCACATGCTTAAAAAACAGAATCATCACTAGCACCTATTCTGTAAACTTACAAGTCTAAGGAGTAATTAGGTTTGTATGCACAAATGAGAGAAACAAATTAGCTTGTTACACCCCAGCTAGTAAGGCAACTAAGGAAAATAATCTTTTGAGTTGAATATTTTCTTGAATTGACATCTAACTGTTGCTTATGCTCTGCAGATTTATTACACTCTGTACAAGTACGTGGTCCACTACACATTCTGGCTTTTCTGACAACTAGTGGGGTATTTAGGCATTTAGGGAATTTTCACTTAAAGGCTGCAAGCTAGCTCTCCTATGACCACTTTCTCCTCATCAATATAAATCTAAAGAAATATAACATTTCTAACAAATTTTAGAATTTTCACCATCTATCAGAGAGCTTCTTTCAGCCTTCAGGAACTATCGAGTCTGAAGTAGTACACAGAGCATGCTGCACATTACAGTCTGATACATTAGAGATGGCCACCTAATAATTATGTGAAGAATTCTTTGTTGAAAGTGCAGTACTGGCCACAGTAAGGTGCTGAATGTTGTGCCAGGCTGCTTATCCCAGCCAGTAATTAAGTACATTTGTTGAACTTCTTTTTATCACTAATTAATCCAAGAAAGCCTTGCATAGAAAAGTATTAAAGTCATGTTAAAAAAATCAAATTTTATAACAATTCAGAAGCAAACTTTTGAAAAAAAATTGTGTTCCACAGAAAAGTGACAGCATTAAAAGACAAATGGAAACTGGAAATCAGACTGCTGATTGATTTAGCAACAGTGAAACACAGGAAAAAAATAACAGCAATTAAGTAATAACTTGCAAATTATTTCCACTTATGATAAGAACAGCTTTTAATAGCAACATAGGTAGAGAAATGTCATTACAACAAACCATGCCAGATCCCCATATGTTATCACTGGAGCTATATTTACATGAGATAAGATTGTGACCCAGAGTTTTGAAGTATATGATCATATACAAGCACTATGAAGTACAAACTTCAGGCAGCATCTTGTAATAATATATTCTTCTTTGTATTCATAAAACAATTTTTCAAATCTTAAATATAAGAACCTGGTAAACTACTTCTCACACTAACACAATACTATGTTCACTCCAGACTCCAATAACAAATATGAATTCATAAGTACTAAAAATAAGTATTAAAAAGATACTAAAAAATGATTTGGCAATTAAAGCAAAAAGAAATCAAGAATATCTAGCTTAATTTTTGTTAAACCCGCTGTATAATTTTACCCAGACATCTGTAGTTCATGCACTTCAGCTCAATCAAGTTATCCTTAAGAAAACAGTCAATAAGGGCTCACATGCTGAAAAAAAGACATCAAACAATCTTTTGCTTTCCCTGACTACTTTATTTTGAACTAGCATTTGTGCAGTTAGTTTTCTAGTAAATGCAAGAGCTTTTTTCTTTTTCTTGGTGGACTGAAGAACCTATCATATTTTACATCTGTATTTCTACCTTCATAACTATTTACAGCTGTTCATTATTACAGAGACACAAAGGACCATTTAGCCAGAGACAAACCTGGGAAGATCAGCTCCAGTTCTTGCCAAAATGCTACAAAGCATTTCACAGCAAAGACTACCCTGACAATGAGTTTCTAACTCAAGCTGTATAATTACCATGGAAAGCTCTTCAAATGTTCGAGGGAAATTTTTATACTAAAAAAATTATTTTCCTCCACTGTAAACAACAGTTCTGTATAGACCAAGGAAAAGCAACAACAAACAACAACAAAAAGGTAGAAATAATAACAGTTCCTTCAGATGAAGCTTAAGCACGGAAAATGTTAGCTCCAAAATATAAAAGTTTTTCCAGATGGTAATATATGCAAACCTGGCGTTAGCATGCAAATTTGAGCATTCTTTCAATCAGTGCAACCAACCAGAACATCAAACAAACAAAACTATTAGAATTGAAAGAGAAGTGGGGAAAAACTTACGTGAAAAGATTGGGCTGAAGGGCAAAAGAAGGACAGAGCTACAGCTGAGGTATAGAACCTACTGCACACAGTAATTAAGTATTTGGGAGATGAGGAAAGATCTGAAAATTTATGTTAGCAGATGGCTTAACTTTTCATGAACTTGCTTTTTCAGTGTTTCATGAAGTACGGTGTTAGCGTTTTCCATAATCAGCTTTTCATGAATTAATGCATGTAATTCTGTGCAAACGGGATGGAAGAAAATATGGAGAATTTACATTAAGGGAAACTTTGTTTTGTATCTATCTAAACTATTTTTTATTATCTGCATCAATATTTTTCTTCTACTCAGCAACTACCAAGCCTATGTATTACACACCCGAAACATCCCAACGCCAGCCTGTCTCATACTGCTCCCTCCCCATCCTGAAACAATCTGCCTGTGACACCAACCATCTCGACCTTACTGTGGACTGCAGAATCCATCAGGGAAGAGATTTTAACCCAGGCTCAGGTACATGTCAAGGTCCAATAAAAATGGCCAGGTCAACATTTTTGGTGCTACAGATTGCAATTTTAAAAAAGTCAAAATGAAGCTTACCACAAGAGTTAATAACTAACTTGGACAAGAATTAATAACAAAATGCATTTCTCCAGCTTTTTAATTCTATCCCCTTAATGATACCTTAGCAGCTAACATTTTTTTAGCACAAAGGAGTTTATTTCCTCACAGAATTTCTTTTCATTCTATTGTTTAGTCTTTTTGTTCATTCACTGACTATTTTTGAATTTCAATGAAACTATTTCTTAATATTTATTTTAAAACCGATTAAGTTTTTCTCTGTTTTATAGGCATAGGCGTTTGGATCTGTGACTTTTTTTTCCTTCCATGTCAAAAGCAGGGCTTTATATATACCACCCACTTTTTTCTCAGGTTTATTTCTTCACTTTGCTCCTCTGTTACATTTAATAAAGCGTGTTAGTACCATCAGGATAAATACTCTAAAAGTAAGCAAATCTGCTTCTACTGAAGTTTCTCCTTATGGCAACTAAGATAAGCAAATGTCATCCATTATAAGAACATTACTGTGGTTAAAAAAAACATTCACATGACGAAGAATCTATAATAACGTATAGTATCTTTATTCAAGGGTCATTTAAGTCTTCTAGAAACCCTGCAACTTCTCTTTGATTTTAAAACTGCACATAGGCAGGATTCCTCTCCTCTGTAGGTGTATGTCCAAAAGCTAAGCTGCACCAGACTAACTGTGGAGGTAGGGAAGAGAAGAACCTCCACAGTGACTCATCCCATTCTAGAATGCTTCAGATGTGACAACACTTGGTGATAGCTGAAATGAATCATCCTCCAGAACACACAGCTAACTTTAGGAACCTATCTTGAGCCAGCTGAAATAGGGTGAAAGAAAGCTCTGCCTTACAGTTACCTGTGGAATACACAAAGCACAACTCAGAAAAACAAAATGAATTTCATATATGAACAACTTCAATACTCTAATATGAACATAATTTTCATCCTGACCTTACTATTTCTTACCAGAATGAATTTGTTAAGTTCCTCTTCAAAAAACAGAATCATAGAATCACCAAGGTTGGAAAAGATCTCCAAGATGATCCAGTCCAGCAGTTCACCTGTCACCAATATTTCCCCACCAAACCACATCCCTCAGTACAATATCTAAATGTTTCTTGAACACAACAGATCAAAAGTGGTTTTCTTTAATGTTGTTTTTAACATCCTAGTGCTTATTGAAGAGACAGAATTATTCAAGAGAGGGTCTCCTTCTCTGGAGGTACTCAAAACCCGCCTGGATGCGTTCCTGTGTGACCTGATCTAGGTGTACCTTCTCTGGCAGGGGGAGTGGACTAAATGATCTTTCAATGTCCTTTCCAATCCCTGATACGCTGTGATTCTGTAATTAAACATGCTAAACTCCTGTAATTCAATGTACTACGACTGGTCAGGGAATCTGAATACTGTAAAGGAGACATATTAACAGAAACGTGCAAAGGAGAACTCTAACATCTCTGACAATACTGACAAATAGGGAAAAAGTGACTTGAATATTAACCAGTGATTTCACTTTAATCTTTTTAACAAATTAAAGACTTCCCAATTTGGACTTAATCAGCTTGTATCACAAGTTATAGCAGTATTTTAAAGAATTACATGGGTTAGCATTTATTCTCAATCCTGCTGTTTTAATCCATGTGTTTCCTATCAACATTAGGCTCTTACAGAAGCTCTTGTATGATATAACTATTGAACTTTTTTGACTAGGAATGTTAACTGCAGCTGTTAGTCACTCCATAATGTATTTTGCAATCATCTAAATCAACCAAGTATTTTAACAATGAACAGTTCAGAACTGACAGATCTACTTTCTTGTTCACAACTGCTTATCGCAGCATAGATATCATATATGTTTGCCAGGTGCTTCCTATAGTTAGGATACCTTCACAGAAGCCGCTTGGAAAAGATAAGGTCATAAAAGAGATGAAAAATGTGCAAGCTTCATACACTCATGGTTTTATCATCAGACAAAATAGCTTTGGGTGAAGGACTACCAGTCACAAACAGCACAGTGCAGCTTATGTTAGAGTGAGACAACATTAAAAACTTTGAAATTCTGTTTGTGCTCATTCTGCCTGGTCGCTTAAATATAAACTTAAATTGGTAACATCCTAATACAGCTGTTCAGAGTGAAAAATCACTTCTCAATTATAATAAATCAATTCAGAAATAAATAGTTATGAAGCC